TCACACTCGCGACCACTCGGCCAACGAAGCAGAGAAACTAGAGAACCATTTGAATAAATTCAGTTATTTATTTTCAACATCGGAAGCGTGAAGTGTGGGTTATTTATTATGAAGTTATTTCGATTCGGATGGTTGGCAACTTATCACCTATCACGAAGCTTTCAATATAGACCTTTTATTTCGAATGCAAGTTTAAAATGTACTTCGATACAGTTTCTGTACGGAAAATTGTAAATATAAGAAGAAAAAGAAAGTAATAGTTATATTCTCTTTTTAATTATTTCCGCATGATAATAGGTAATAGATAAAACGATGAAACCTAGCTATGCTATAGCTGTAACTAAGCAATATAATATATTGTGGCTAAGAAAATTCCTTTCTCCTAACGTTTTCTCACTTAGTAGAGCACTGAATCTTAAGATTTAGTTAAATATTTTACATGGAACTTCAATCTATCCTACACAACCCACACTCGGACAGTGAGGCAAACGAGCACCGTTTCACAGACTTACAATCTTGCCAAGCAGAAGGGTCTCAACTCAATTATTCGCTTAGTAAAAAGTACAAAAGCATTACTTGAGGCGTCGACAGTAATAAATTGTAGTGATAATACGTGAGATAAATTAGAATTTCTCTACCGTTTCATGGGCTTAGAGAGCCTCTCAAGTCAGCCTTTCGTCGGTCAGTCGGTCAACCTTTTGTTATAAACGTGAACCATTAATCAGGCGACGTCTCTTCAACTCGAGTATTTTTTGGGTCAACTGACAAGATAAACCTTTTCGCACCTATTCAAAAGATTTGGGAAAACTATGAATTTAAAGCGTAAATTCGTTTATTTGGAACATTATTCACTCTGAGTATGAAATTTGTTCAAACATTTATTGTGGTAAGAATCGTAGTAATTGGCGTTCCTTAGTCTCTGCCTACTCCCATGGGAGACAGGCGTAAAGTTATGTATATATGTATTTATTGTGGTCCTGCTTACCTTCATAAAGTTTACAGAATAAAAGCAAAGGGACATTTGATACAGTAAATTAATATTTCAAGTTGATCTCGCTATCCTATTTTCGTCCTAGTAACTATCTCACGTAAATATCCACTTACTTCTAGCTTCGGCCTAAGTCGACTTGCGAAATTTAATTTAAAGAGATCCAAAAACCATTTTCTAAGGATCAAAATATAACCTTATATCAACACGACACCTTACACGTGTAGCACGCCAACTAAACAAAATACGAAGCCAAAAAATATTGGCTAATACAAAATATATCGATACAAACATCGTGAACGAATTTCGTCGTACCGACTTGTAAACAAACACATGTTTTTGTACAAGTTTCTGATTCAATCGTCTAAAAAAAGCTTTAGAAGTAATTGAAAATCTGTTAAAGGGAAACGTTTTTGAAATTCCTTGAAATTCTTCGAAGCCGTTGAATTTAATTTAAGTCTAAATGCTAATCTTATTACATCTTGTCAATTAAGTTGCAAAATAGATTCTGTAACCTTGAACTATATTTGGGAGTAATATTAACATTTGAGATCATAATAATAAGTTTCGTCTTGAAATTAAATCAGTAGATGACGTCACAATTTTGGAGCACTTTAGTATTTCCACTTCTTTTACATTAAAATTCCAAACGGTATTTTTTGCAATAGAGAAAATTCATATTGATTCTCAAATTGGAGTTTAAAATATTATTTAAACCCACAAGTCATATTCTGAAAGATAACATTGATTTTAGCTCTAAAATTGATAAAGAAAAAATCTCGGCTCGAATTAGCTCCACAGCTAAAAATTCAAATGCAATAGAATATAGATCAAATTAATATTTAAACCGACAACTATCTAACACTAACACTTCAGCATGAAACACCAATAACATAAAGCTAGCTTAGATCATAGTAGTTAGTAAACACAGAGGGGTCTAGGTATAGTTAGAAACGACAAGGACCAATAAGTTATCGGAGCCTTCCAATTAACTCCTACAGCTTGCGTGGGACGTTGTCGATACGGGTCCCTTTCACTTCTAGATTGCTCTTGAAATATCTGAAAATATAGACACTTCTAGTTTTTATTGGTACTATTCAACAATATTTATTGTTATTTCACTTGATACTTATAGAAAATTGAATTTGTATGTATAAGTTCAAATTTATAATCATGTTTTTGTTTTAGCTGTAATAAAACAAAGTCTTTACACATGCAAGTACCTTTACTATACAAAATCGTATTCATATAAAAATGTACCTACATCAATTTCATTGTAAGCAACTTGATCCATCTAAAAGAACCCTTTGTAAACGTATCTGAGATTTAACATCCAATTTTTCGAAAAGCCGCAGGATTATGCAGGAAATAGATTATAAGGGTACCGACCCACTTCGTTCGAACTGTTGATCAAGTATCAAATGTTGGCCGCATCGACCCTAACAATAGACTTAGTTCCAAAGCTTTATTGGTCTAGCCGGCAACAAATTCGCTGACCCTCCCATTTATTGGAGAATTTTTTGCCCCAAGATGGATAGGCAAAGCTCCTAAAAGGCACAAAACGTGAAGGAAATTTAGTAAGGAAAAAATCAGGCAACGATAAAAAATCAACACAAATCTATAAAACCGTAGAAAATACTGATTGCATCAGCAAAATCGTGTAAAATCGGATAAGTTTTCTGCTTTTCATTGAAGATAACAAAACAACAACTTCTGAATATAACAATCTTTATGGACATTCCTAAAGTAATGATACTCCAACGCCAACGAAGCTATATCGTAGCCCATCTCAACAATAAGATGACTGTTATTGCGCCCGAAATATACACGACCGCCTATAATTACTCGAGAAACATATAAGTTCCTCTAATTATTCCCTTCGCGCGTCATAATACTTGCACCATTAAATTTGTTTGATCACATTAAGACAACAGGATTATCAGTGTTAATAAGACGCTCGCCGTAACTGGGATTATTTCACGGGTGCTTCCGCTGTCTATAACAATTGAAGCCGTTACTGTGGGCGTTGGAGGGGTGAAGAGATTTAGATTCAGCATGTTTTCCCTTAAGAAAAATTCGTACTAACTGTTTGCAAGCACTTGATTGTGATGATAGTGTATTCGACCCGGTAAATTTGACTAAAGAATCCAGCGTGCTGGGTTTAAATTATTCTCCAAAACTCGACATCATTCAATTTCCCGCGAAGGTGGAATCGCCACCGCAAATTGTTACAAAAAAGGTCGTAATAGCTACTATTTCTAAAATATTTGATCCGTTGGGATTAATTTGTGCATGCATTATTAAAACTAAAATATTTTTACAACAATTATGGGTCATAAAATTAAATTGGGACGACCCCATACCACAAATTCTATTGGATACGTGGTTAAAATTTATTTCTAATTTACATTACATTTCTAATATTAAAATTAATAGATATGTTCTTTGCGATAACCCCGTGTCAATAGAATTGCATTGTTTTGTTGATGCGTCACAGAAAGCATATGCCTCATGTGTATATTTACGGTCAACAAATGAAAAAAATGAGGTCACTGTTAGACTTTTGTGCGCAAAGGCACGTGTTGCACCCTTAAAACCTATTACTATACCGAAATTGGAATTACTTGGTACTTTGCTGGGAGCTAGATTATGTGATAAAATTATACAGTCATTACGATTTAATATAACTAACAAAACTATTTGGACAGATTCGACAGTTGTCTTAGGTTGGCTAAGAACTGATGTAAGAAATCTTAAAATGTTTGTCTGCAATAGGGTTAATGAAATTAACGAGCTAACAAGTGGTTTCGAACACAGACATGTACCTACGAATATGAACCCAGCTGACTTGGCCTCAAGAGGAGTTGAACACCAGGACCTTTTATCTTCTTCATTGTGGTGGGAAGGTCCTTCTTTCCTACAGAAGGAGCGTTCAGAGTGGCCACAGAATTCTTTCGTAGTTCAAAACTTACCTGAGTTAAAGGTACATTCTTTGATAGCTGCATTGGACAATTCTGATGACGGTAGTTTATTTATAGAATTTAAAAGGTACTCGAGTTTCAATAAAATAAGTAGAATATTTGCCTATGTGTTACGTTTTGTTAACAATTGCAATAAAAACAAACATAAATATTCAGGCCCTATAAGTTCAGACGAAATAAATAATTCAGTGGTATTACTAATAAAAAAATGTCAAGTACAATCGTTTCCTTTTGAAATTGGGTTACTCAGGCAAGGAAAACAATTACCACAAAAGAGTAAATTACTACAGTTGACTCCATTTGTGGATTCACACGATATAGTTCGAGTGGGTGGTCGTTTGGGAAACTCAACTTATAATTTCGATAAGAAGCACCCTATACTATTACATTCAAAACATCATTTTACCAAGCTATTAATGATTAATGAACATATACGTTTGTTCCACGCAGGTCAACAGCTGCTGTTAGCGTCAGTGCGTGATAAATACTGGCCTATTGGTGGAAGATGTTTAGCGCGGCAAGTAGTTAGACAATGTATTATTTGCGTTCGTCTAAGAGCGGATACGATGCAGCCAATAATGGGTCATTTACCTGAGGCGCGTACAAATGCTTGTTTTCCTTTCTACTCGTGTGGAGTTGACTTTGCTGGACCTTTCATGATTAGTAACCGGAAAGGTCGTGGTAATCGTATCACTAAATGTTACTTATGTTTATTTGTTTGCCTCAGTACAAAGGCAATACATTTAGAGCTGGTGAGTGAATTGAGTACTCAAGCTTTTATTTTATGCCTAAGACGGTTCATATCACGTAGAGGAAAATGTCATGAGATTTTTTGCGACAACGGCAGGAATTTTGTGGGTGCGAACAATGAACTGGGTAGGTTGCTTAGATCCAGCCGTCAGTCTGTTAGTGATTATGCTACTTCTGAAGGAATCAAATTTGTATTTAGCCCCGCATATTCTCCCCACTTTGGTGGTATATTTGAAGCTGGAATTAAATCAGCAAAATTTCACTTAAAACGTGTAGCTGGAAATGCTGCTTTGACGTTTGAGGAGCTAGCAACGCTATTTGCGCAAATCGAAGCTATCCTTAACTCACGTCCGCTGACTCCTCTCTCGTCCAATGTTACTGATCCTTCTCCTCTGACCCCAGGCCACTTCTTAATTGGGAGACCACTTACGTCTATTCCGACGAAGCCCATCACTGCTACTAGACCAAACAGATACGAGCTTATTGAGAAAATAAGGCAGCACTTCTGGGAGCGGTGGCGCCTTGAGTACATCTCCGAGTTGCAGCAACGCACCAAATGGCGCACCGGGCAACAAGGCCTCGCCTGCGGGGACGTGGTGGTACTGAAGGAGGACAACTTACCGCCATTACAATGGCGGATGGGGCGTGTGTGTCGCCTCTACCCAGGGGCCGATGGCGTTAGTAGGGTGGCTGACGTCACTACTTCGAGGGGCATTATACGAAGGGCTATCAATAAACTATGTCTTCTGCCCACTTCAGAATCGAAAGATGACAACGAACCAGAGGGAGGCGTCCCGAGGCTCCAGACCTCGTCTACTTCTTGAAAGCTAATGCTTTCAACGCGCCGGAGGATGTTCACGCATCTAACGTGTGGACCACAGCGGCGGGAGACGCGGCGGGCGGGGGACGCACACAGCTGATCGGGCGCACCGCCGCCGCGCCCCGATCGGCTCGCCGACAGATTTGGTCAGCGACAGACGTGTCGTGCTCTAAGAAATTACTCATATATTTAATCGATCTGTATTAAAGTAATTATTTATCTAAAGCGAGTCGTTCATTATTAAAATCCTGAACATTGTATCCTGAAAATAAAAAATACGTGTCTAATGTTTTTAAATAATCTACCAGAGGTACATTCAAATAAAAATTAGTCGTCTACCCTATTGTGGTTATTGATTTTGTTACCAAACCTATATTTTGCAAAGGCAACAAACAAATATGAATATAACTATTCCAAAATAATTCCAAACCTAACCTACTTTCAAAATAGCTCTAAGACGTTTCAAAAACATAATTTTCCACTGAAAAATATATAGAAAAGCTCCTCTTTCAGTCCGTTACATACAATGGCGCACTATATTCTGAAAAATATGAAATTCTTGTTGTACAGTCAGTAATAAAAGTTCAACTGAAGTTTACGTTGCTGATTGACATTTTTATGTGAATATTGTTCTTGACGACTGTACCTAGTACAAAATGGAGCTGTTGGTGTAAGATTTTTAAAATGATATTCTTTTGTTTTGCTATCGTGTGTTTTGAAAATGGAATGGTGTGAATGAGAAAGGAGTTTGTGATATTCGATCACAGACTTCTTTGAAGAGAAGTCTGGCAAGGGAGAATGGAGAAAGGATATGTGGGAGAGACTGACTTTTTTATCTTCGATGGGCCGACGTTTGACCAACCACTATCTCGCCTGGTGGTAAGCGATTATGCGATCTACAATGGAGCACGTTGTCCCATAAGCAACCTATTCACTCGGGCTTTGAAGACACCCAGGTTGTACCCTTCAGGAAATATAGACTCTGGCAAAGAATTTCACTTCTTAGCAGTGCACACAAGGAAGCTTGATGCGAAGCGCTTCGTGCGTGTGGATGGGACATCTACCATGAATCGGTGACGCTTCGCCGATTGTCTTGTGATACGATGATGGAAAGGGTTAGGGGGAATCAAGTTGTGCAATTCCCCAGCAGATTTGGAATATGGGTAGCATTCTTTACAGGAAAACGAAAAATTGTTTTGTATATAGACTTCTTTGTTGCACAGTTGATTGGATATTTTTGTACTTGAAAACAAAAACTAATTTCTAAATTACACTAAAACTAATAGAAAAATAAAATTAAAAGAATACTTAAGTATCTTGATGTACATATTTTTTTTTCTTTTATTATATTATTTAAATGACTCGACTAGTTTCAAGCCATGCTAGAGGCTCATATTCAAGTGCAGTATTCCGCGACCCGCGACGCGGCAACTGGCTGCTTGAGTCAGCTGCGGTACGGGCCCAACGCATCTTCTATCTAAGCATGTTGACTGTCGACATCTCGACTAACTGTTAAATAGTTACGTGAATAAGCCGAAAACATTAATTTCCTTACAATATTTGTTTTTATTTTGATCAAGCATAATTACATCTTTAATTAAGACTTCATTTTTTTTAATTCTAACTTTGAAAATGTTTTTAAAAAACTGGATACACTTCACACCGTAAAAGTTTTTAAGTTCAACAATATTTGTGAGCCTTAAAAAAGTTTTAATCTTCTTTTTGTTGCGGTGTGATTAAGGTTTGCTTGTTAAAAGTTTTTTAAAGTTTTTTGATGCTCAACCTGTTTGAGTTTGTTCGTTAGTTGAATAGTTTGTGGTAACAACATGTTTGGAAAACCGTCGTAATTTTTCACAGGTTCGAAGTTGGAGCGAGAAAAGTGTTAGTTACCTTTTAGATTTCTAAGTTCACAGAATGGAGTCTGTAAAATGCGGAAGTTGTAAATATGTACCTCTATATAATTAATTGTATGGTTTGATGTACATTTCGATTACATTTTGATTTACATTTCTTTAAATAAACGTTACCGCACACTAGGATTTTCTCCTGTATTGTATACTACGCGGACGAAGTCGAGCAACGGCTAGTTTTGATATTAAAGTCGAAAATTGAATGAAACAAATTGGTAGAATGTAACAAGTTTATCTTCTGTTTGGACATACCAACCGGTATTTGGCACTCATAACATAAACAGTGAAAAGTAGGTGTTACATTGTACAGTGGCATTAAGTGCCGAAATGTGCACCTCTGCCTACTCTTTCGGGGATAAAAAGGCGTGATATTATGTTATGTTATGTTATGTTATGGACATACCAATCCACCAATTTTCCAACACATTAGTTACTTTATTATAAATTCGGAAAAATACTGTTATCTTCCTAACAATAACACTTTACAACTCAATGCTTAATCGAATCAAGATCTCGATTCGGTACAAACATTCGAGTTGAACGAATCGATTCCAATAACTATCGAGTTGGGTATAGTACTTACTATTTTGTACGAACGTGTTACGATGTCCAGGTCCAATGTAGTTAACGTTCCAGGGTCTGGAAGCGATTGTCCCAACCCTACTCTCTATTTTGCCGACGGTTTCATAAAGGAGGTTTTAATTAATTGGGTTTTAAATAGTGGTGAGGTGGTTTTAGGTTCGTAAAATTGATTTATTGAGTTGTAGATAATTTTATAAAAATACTATGAATGAATGAATGAATGAAAAATGTTTATTCGGCATAAGACATGCACGCCAGAAAAGACATAAATATAAAAAAAGCATAAAAACAGAAAAATTAAAAGATAAAAGTTAAATTATAAAACTAAAACTAAAACTAAAGCAAGCCAATAAGCCATTCAAGTGCGCGGTGTTGGCGGACATGTCCAATCCGAACGGGTCACCAACTCAGCATAAAGCTGGGCACAATGAGCACCCAACACTGATTTTCAGTTGGCACCCCTGCAGTGACGCACGGACGAGAGCAACACATACTTGTAATCCACATAATTATGTATAGAAACTTTGTTATTAAACTGTCAAACACCAAGCGGTCACCAGTGACCGCAACCTATTGTTCTATAATTGTGTCTATAATGACGGTACTTGACAAGTTAATTTTGTGTGTTCAATTTATTAACAAATATAATAGTTATTAATAATGTGCTACAATAATTGTGGAGTTATGTGTGTAATGTGTGGACAGCTCATGCCAATGTATGATTTGAGATATGATGAAACAGGGACGGCTGTAATAATCAATATTAGAATTAAATAGGTCAAATAAAAGACAGGTCCGCGTTTATTTCAGCGCTGCTGATTTGGGAAGTAAGCACAAACTCCTTGAGCTTTCTTCTGAAAGTACTTATACTTTGCAGATTTCTGATTGGCGGAGGGATGTTGTTCCAGCACTTCGATGCCGCATACCTGAAGCTACCCCTAAATGCAGCAGATTTGTGTTGCGGTATAGCCAGCTGCTGCGCACAACGCCTACCCTCTCGCCGGCGATGTGCATTCACCCACGAGAGTTTCAAGTAGAGATATGACGGACATTTGGTTCTTATGACACCAAAGAGGAGACAGGCCAGATGAAGCTTGCGACGTGACTTCATTTTTAACAAATTGTGTTTATTGAGATATGGTGTAATGTGGCTCCTTGGTGGTATTTTGAAACAAAAACGTGCGCAAGCATTCTGTACTCTCTGTATCAATCGTTTGGTGCGCGATAGGAGTCTGGGGCCGATGACCGTGTCCGCGTAATTTAATTTAGACAGTACCAGAGATTCGGCCAACTGCACACGCAACTCCTCACATAGGTACGGGCGCATTTTGTACAGTACTTTCAGACGATAAAAACAATTTCTGACGCAATTTGAGACGTACGATTCGAACCTGAGGCCCTGATCCATAACCAAACCCAAATTTTTTGCATCATAAACGCGCTCGACTGTCTGGCCCCTCAGTAACAAGTTAGCGCCGTTTATAGGTATTCTTTGCAACTGACCATTTGTTCCAAACAGCATATATTTGGTCTTAGATGGGTTGAGAATGAGACAGTTATCACTCGACCAATCAACAATTCTGTTGAGATCCTCATTAATATACCTCACCGCACCATCGTACTTTTCTGGTCTAAAAGAGAAATAAATTTGGAGATCGTCGGCGTAAATGTGAAATTTGCAATTTTTTATCACTTTAACGATATCTGCACAATATAATATGAATAATGTTGGCCCTAATATCGATCCCTGGGGAACCCCCTTAGTCACTGGTTTCACACGCGATCTCAAAGTGGAACCATTCACACCGCGGACCTCAACGAATTGGGCACGATTACTGAGATAACTATTGAACCATTTGATGGTTGAAGTGTTGAAACCATAGTACGCCATCTTGGATAGCAATAAGGGTAGGTTGATGGCGTCAAAAGCCCTCGAGAAATCCAACAGGACCAACATAGTGCATAAACCTTCGTCTTGTGCTGACAGAATATTGTCGGTGACATCCAGCAAAGCTGTTGCCGTACTACGACCCCTCCTGAAACCCGACTGCGCCTCCGGAAGAGCGCCGCTATCCTCGAGATATTTAGACAATTGCTCATTTACCACTCTTTCCAGCACCTTCGAGAGCAGCGGTAAAATGCTAATAGGCCTCAAGTCTTTGAGATCGCGGGGGTTATTTGTTTTGGGTAATGGACGCACCATTGCAAGCTTCCAATCCTCTGGAAAGGTCGACGTTCTAATTGATTCATTTATAATATTTGTTAAAATGTCAAGGGTATTCGGAACAGTCATTATAAACATATTCAACGTTATGTGATCACAGCCTTCAGCATTAGATTTAAGGTTAGTCAATATCTTCATAACTTTACTGTCATTCGTGGTTTTGAGGTTGAAAGTTTTGTCAGAAAATTTGTGAAATTCAAAATAGGTAAGATATGATACCAATATATCAGTTTCACCGGGTACGTTTAAAAAATGGTCGTTGATTTTGTCGGGATCGTTAAAATGTGGTGGTAGATCCATGTCGCATTTGGAAGGCAGCAAAGTTGTTTTCAAATTTTTCCAAAGCGTTTTGAGGTTGTTTATATTGTTATTAATGTTAACCCTATAGTAAGCAACTTTTTCAAAGTAAATTGATTTATTCACCAGTCGCTTCAGATCCAAGTAATACTGTCTTTTATAATTTAACGATTTATCATCCAAATACTGTCTGTACGCCCTATCTCGAAGGTTCATCATAAACTTGATGTTGTCAGTGAT